CCCCCCCCCCCCCGCCCACCTTACGCAGCACCCAGCACGCTGCACGCTGCACAGCGCAGCAGATCGCGAGCTAATCCAACACTCTCGGCAGGGGTGCGGGAAGCAAAGAATTTTGGAGGCGTAGCACCCAAAGACACAGAGAGAGAGAGAGGGAAAGGAGAAGCAGGGACCAACAACGAGTGCACACATTCGCCAACAGGACGAACACACCAAGGAGAGAGAGCAGCAGCAAACAGCAGTGGCTAGCATATCATGGCAGACTTCGGCGAGCTCGACCCCTCCCTCAAGAACCTCGTAGACCAGGAGAGCTTGCAATGGATATTCGTCGGGGGTAAGGGGGGCGTGGGAAAAACTACCACGTCCTGTTGTGTGGCGGCTCAGGTGCGTGGAGTTGTTTATGCTGTTGTTGTCTAATAGCTGCGGCTGCTGTTTCGGGAACTCACCGCAGCAGCATGGTTCCCGGCCGGAGACCAGTGAGCTGTTGCAGCAGGAGCGGTGCGGCAGCAGCTCGACTTTGGCAGTGCATAGTGTACGGGGATTGGTTGTTTTTGTCCTCTGCGTGGGAGCAGCTGTGTGGCTTCTGTGTGAAAGCAAGGAATGACACGGTCACCCTTATACTCTGCATGTGTATACTGCTATTGGGTAGTACCACCCGCTGCTTCTCTGGACTGCACTGCTGGTAGACACCTTTTGGTACACAGCAGTGCATATTGAGCATGAGGATGAAGGACAACAGCTATTATTACACGAGCCGCCAACGTACGAGACCATCGAGACCGTTGTACGCGTATCACTAGCCCAACGGTTGCGCGCTCTGGGTACAAGCAGGTTGTATACGTAGCGATACGTGAAACACATGAAATAATTGGTTCTCTCCACACAATGATGATGTGCGGTGGAACGAACTCGGCAGATCAAATCTCACGAGGTTGAACCCAACAAAGCCAAGGACCAACGACGACGCCATTGTCTACAGAAAGCGCGGGAACTTCTGTTACATGTTCCTGGCGAGCGGCATTATCTTTTTGACGATAGACGTCGCATTCGTTACTGGATGCATTTGGTTACGATTTGTATCACACGGGCAACTCGTTCCATACCCTCGTTGTGGAACACTTCCTTTGCCGAGAAAATAAAGATGGTTCAGACATCCGTTCACCGTTCACCTTTCGGTGTGTCTTTCTTGTTTGCATCGACCGCGCTGACCAGTGAGTAGACGCCAGTCTCAGGCCAGTTGTTATGGAATTTTTTCCAAGATGGGAATCCGAGGGATCGACAGAAAATTCTCAACCACCCCCGTAAGAGCAGGAGGTCTGCGCACTGGACAGCAAGCACAGCGCACAAGGCACGTATTCAGTTCGTCCTCGCCTCATAGACCCATGTTTGTTATCTAACCGATCAGGCTGTCCACTGCACTGCTGTGAGCTTCTCGGAGCTACGTTTGGGCAGCTAGAGTGCAGTGTGCGTAGAGTATGCAATGTTATGAAAGCAAATTCACGATTCCCAGTTTGGAATTTCAAACAATTCCAGCTGGGAATTCATGAGGAACTCCAACCAGGATCGTCCAGCAATTCCAAATTGAAATTCCTATTTTACCAAGCATAATGAACACATACTGCACCTCAGCTCGCCAAACTTGGCTCGAAGAGGCTCATAACAATGTACTGCGCGGCCTCGAAGGTTTGAAAGCGAACGGGTCTTCGTGAGGCGAGTACTGAGTGCCAAAGCGTGTTTGTGTGCATTTCTAACCAAGTACGCAGAACTTCTGCGGCCTCATGTGGGTTTGGATGTAAAAGGCGTCAAATCGGGATTCCCATCTGGGAAAATTTTCACAAACAGTTGGCCTCAGTACGGCTGAAACAGAAAGCGCTTCTCAAGGCTACCATGATCTGGGACCCCGCGAGGGAGCGTCATGGGATTGTGGGCGTCATGGGATTGTGGGTTGCGTGGTTGCCTTCCTCACCGCTTGTATTCGGAAGTCGATGTAAAACAACGCCTTTCTTTCGGTATGATTCCGGACGCACCACCGGCAGCCGGGGCCCCGGAACATGAGGAAGGCCACGCAGGAGTTAATTGTTAATTTTCCGTGGTGTTGCATCTCTCAGCCTTCCTTGCGCGGTGGTCCCTTAATTACTTTGCGCGAAAAGGAATCAACGAGTCATACATGGACAGCCGTCATCCCTCTTTCAGCATTGACAGCGAAGGTGAACATCTGTGGACCCACTCAATGTTGACCATTACCAGATCCTTCTGTATGACATCAGAGGAGGACGGCCCCATCAGTGGTATTTGGGGATTCGTTGAAGGCCTTACCGGCAGTCATGAATCGGAGGCGCCTGCCGTCTACAGAGTTTTTGGGCATTTTTTTTGTTTGCTTTCTTTAAAGGTTCAAGTTCCGGTCGTGATTCTCATGCCAACAACGACGCATTTTCACGCAGGTGTTCCCTTTGCGATGGGGAACAGACACACGCGTGCGTGTGGATGACGATGGCCAAAAGGCGCAGTCTCGAAGCACACGCAAATCAGACGTAAAGGAGCTATTCACGATGCGCTTTCAAAAGCCGTTGCTCGTTACAAACTTCTGTAGCGACTTCAAACCACCAACTATCGCACCCACTTCTTTGCGGTCAATTCGCAACCTGCTGCTGTGTTTGATAGTCTGTCGCAATCGCTTCTGGTCCGATCGTGGCATCTCGCCCCTAACTCCGGTGCCCTCGCCTTGTCGACATTTGCAGATGTCGAAAGCGCGAGAAAGCGTGCTCATCATCTCCACGGACCCGGCTCACAACCTTAGGTGCGTGGGTCACGTGAGACAAAGACGCCAAGCGGTATATTGGGGAGGGGGTGGGGTGGGGGGCATGCTCATGTAAGTGCGTGCCGTAGTCGGTAGACAGTCGACGTCGCAGGGGTGTGAGTGGGGGGGGTTGAATGGAGACGAAATGGGGTTGTGATAGGGAGAGAGAGGAACTGCGAGGGGACAGACACAGAGGCAAAGCGAGAGAGAGACGGGGGGCGGCGGGGGGTGGAGGGAGTAGACACGGCCACGCCATTCAGTGCTCTGGCAGCGTTCTGGGTATCACGATGTGAGTACACGTGGGCGCATGGTTTACTCATTCTTGTTGGCTGTTTAATTAGCCTGGTCTGCTGTCTGTTTGCACGTTGGTGCATTTTCCGGTGTTTGTGCCTGAGTTGAGTTCGAATGGCACATGCGACAAGCACACCGTTCTCACTCTATGACAGGTGAGATCTTGGTCTCCACCCACTCCATACCCTCCCTCCTTTGTTTATATTGTTTTCGTTCCAATCAGCGCTCACGGCACTTATGCCGGGTAGAAGCACTTCCGCCAGGTAGAAACACTTGTGACCGGTAGAAGCACTTCTTCCGGGTAGAAGCCCCAACCCGTGGTCACAGACGCACTATGCCTCGTTTCACCACGCAACCTACCTATAAACAAGAGCAATCCTGGTGGTTTTAGTCTACAATCCCTTTTCACAGTTGATTATATCACACAAACCTATCTAAACAAGAGCAATCCTGATGGTGTTACAACTCCTTTTTCGCAGTGATGCTTTCGGGCAAAAGTTCACCAAGGACCCAACCCTGGTGAACGGCTTTGACAACCTCTACTGCATGGAGGTGGAGCCCACGGTAGATATGGACGAGCTGGCGGTGACGGACGGGATGAGCCAGGACGCTGCGGACGGCATCAAGGGGTGAGCGGAGCGCTTGCCTTAGGTGACATGACGTAAGATATCACACACCCTTGGGACCGATGTTCGAAGCTCGATTTTCCCGCAGTTGAACGAGTGGCAGCGCCGAAAACGGCGGCGCCTGAAGCCGTCCCGTCGAGAGCTTCCCGAAAACGTGTCGATAAATATGTGCACCGTCTTCGTCGGGGAGTAATGGGGCTTTTATATTTTTTCCAAGGGGTGTGGTGTTCTGTGTCACACACAGCACTTCTCCCTCGGTTGTTTATTCTGCTGTGCGTTGCGTGCGTGTACCGGTATTTAGTAGCTGGCGGTGTTTCGCTGCATGTCCATTTCTTGGGGGGCAATTTGCTGCTGTTGCTGAGTAAACTGTCTCCTTCCCGTCTGTCCGTCTTACTGCCCCCTTGGGGGGAGGGGCTCACGATGTGCAGGGCTTGATGCACTGCCCGAAACTGGATGAAGGACCAAATGGAGAGAGGGGGGTGTAATATATGCCATATGTGGTACTTCAAAAGTAGGATTTAGTGTGGTATAGTACAACCTGTGTACGAAGTATTATTCATTGTACACCAGGTAGGATGTAGAATAGTTATACTTTTCAGTTATACACCTCGTGCATGGGTTTTAGAACTGATGGAATTGTATGTGTGGTATGGCAATACCTTCATGTCATGCTCTATTGTATAGGATTGAATAAGATCACACAAAATATATACACCTCTTATATGGGTTATTAAAGTACTAAGTATGATGCCGTATCCTATATAATTCATCGCCTTCGACGGAAAGGGATTTAAGCGCCCAAAACAATGCAGGTTTGGGGGAGGGAGGGGTAGCAATGCAGCCATGCATCAGCTCCTGCGTTTCGTGAGCCACCTTGGGAGGGTCCATCCATGATCTTCGCCATTGCCTCCATAACATTTGTGTCTCCCTTCCTTCCCCACTCCCCGGGCAGCATGTTCCCGGACGTGTCGAACTCCACGCCCGGGGTAGACGAGGCCATGTCGTTCGCCGAGCTCATGAAGATGGTGCAGAACATGACCTTCTCTCCCTCCCGTCTGCCCAACCCCGCCGCAGCATGTTTTCAGACATGTCGAACTCCATCCCGGGCGTCGACGAGGCCATGTCGTTCGCCGAGCTCATGAAGATGGTGCAGAACATGAACTTCAGCTGCATCGTCTTCGACACGGCGCCCACGGGACACACCCTCCGGTTGCTCTCCTTCCCGACCATCATGGACAAGGCGCTGTCGAAGCTGATGGACCTGAAGAACAAGTTCTCCGGCCTCTTCTCGCAGTTCGGGAACATGTTCGGAGCGGGCGGGGTGAGTGGTGCTGTCGGTAAAGGGGGGTTATGCTCGTGTTTTGCATGCCTTAGCGGTTAGACCATTGACCACGCGTCCTCGAGGGGACGGAGCGTTGTCCCAAGAGGACCGATTACCGATTCCCAACATTTCGTTCCTATTTCGCGCAAGGGTTCGGGAGGGGCGGGGAGGCATTGTCGTTATCGTGCATGACCCTGCGTTGCCGGCCCTCTGGCGAGACTCCAGAAACCAGGTCTGGAGCACCAGCGGGGTGGAAGTAAGAATCGATCTGTTCTTTTGTTTTTGCTTAGGGTGTAGAGATTTGTGACCAAACGGAGACGACACAAGCTAGCACATTTACTGTCCGGCTACCCACGGGGAAAAGAAAGCCGCCGTCTACTTAGTAGAGAGGCAGGTCATTGCTGTGTCCCTCTTGAGTCAGGCCGTGGCAATGAAGTGGGGTTTGCATAGGGCTTGCTGGGGATCAGTGTTATCTTATGATTTGGATCTAAGCGTTACCATCTTGGCGTTCATCGTCCATATACTTGCCCGGTGCACAACGCTCCAAAGTGGTTGTGTTCGCTTCTGGAACTGTACATGCACACCTTCTTCTTTTTTTTTCAGTGCTTGTGTTCTTCAACTCGGTGTTCCTTCCTACCTTGCGGTCCCGTCCAAAAAACGTTGGTCCTATTGTACTCCTTGTATTTTGGCCGCACCCTGTTCATTCTGTTCTTCCTTCCCCCGTGTCCAGGCGACGGAGGACGACATGTTCGGGAAGCTGCTGCAGCTGAAGGAGATCATCAACAAGGTGAACGACCAGTTCAAGGACCCGGACAAGACTACCTTCGTGTGCGTCTGCATCCCCGAGTTCCTGTCCCTCTACGAGACCGAGAGGCTGGTGCAGGAGCTCACCAAGTTCGAGATCGACACCCACAACATCGTCGTGAACCAGGTAATTATTTTAGTTGATAGCTGCCTATGGCGATCATTGCCATTCGTTCGTCGTTGGGCTTTTTTTTTGTTAATTTTTCACGTGAGGCGTGTATGTACCCGTTTTGCGTAGCTGGCCTGTAACCACGAATGACAACAAAGATTGGACCGGTACGGATGTTAGAAGGTACTGAGCTAAGAGACCGCAACAGTTTTTTTTGTGAAAACGACAACAAAAACAACGTCCGAATGTAAACGCCTTTGTTACGTATCGGTACGCTAATCTGCCGTCGCGAAGCAGGTGTGCAGATGATGGCATGTTCTTGTATTTCGAAGGCCGGAGTGCCAAATGTTTCTCGTTTGTGTCCTGTGTTTCGATATGTAAAAGAAATCCTTGTTGTTTTTTTCATCCCCCGTTTTCCGTGAAAGGTTCTCTTCCCGACAAAAGACATCGGAGACCTGCAGAAGTGGTACAGCACGGAGGAGGGGACTCTCAGCACCGAGGCGAAGAGCATCATCTGCAAGACGTTGGCGCGTAAACGCATGCAGGTACGAACACGAGCATTGGCTGCAAGACGGTATGCAGGTAGGTTATGATGGGACGGATGGAGGGTGGTTGTAAAAAAGGGCACAAAAAAGCTTGTTTCTCTGCATCGACAGGTGAGGGCACGAAACAGCTCTGCCACCGTGCATGATGATGTTGACGGTTGTTTCTCTGCATCGAAAGATGTTCGTCAGGCTCGAAATTTTCTGTCGAGGTTGAAGAATTCGAGCACACTTTTTTGTGATGCCCGCGTAGCAATGCTCACAGCACTGCTGTGACGGCCCACGTTGTTGTCGCTTTTGGCTACAAGTACATGCGCGGAGGCGGAAAGGGTCCTCACACCTCGCACGAAAAAGATTGTAAGAGGTTCTGGAGTGGAAGTTGTCGTCCTTAAGGTTGACGGCGTTGTTCCCCTTGATGTGGAACCACGCGCTAATCTCGCGCGATCCCTGTGCTCGCATTCGGAACCTTGGAGCTATTGTGATTTATCGACCAACACCCGTCACCCTCCTGTGCTTGACCAGGTATTGATCCACCCTCTCGCTCAAAAATCCGTGCTTTCAAGTGGATCGACACACTATGTAGTCCGACTTGTTTTTATCCAAAGCCTTTCTCGAAAGTACCGTTATAGTCGGAGAGATGGCACCGGGGTGCGCAAAATATTACGAGAACGGCATGATGTAGCTCGATTTACGCACCGGGTGAGATCTCACCGACCCCCAAATCAAATATTGCTCCCTTTCAGCTGCCGGAGTGAGGTACATGTGCGTGCCTTGTGCACGTGGGGGCGGTGTCAGCGGAGCGCCTCTGCTATACTGTACGTATGTAAGCATGGTCCCGGCCCAATCGGGATGCCAATTGCCAACCGAAAACTCAACCAAACACTCAACGCACAAGCCGCACCCCCACCTTACACAACATGGAACTTCTGTACTTCTGCGTACGTACTGGTATCCATCCGTAGAGGAAAGGCAGAAACGAAAGCGGCAGACAGGCTGGTGCCTTAGATGGACACCACATCGTTGTCCTTGTCACGCCATAGCCAAACTCGCCTTCAAACACAAGACCACTCGCTGCATGAAAAGCTGATACGTACCAGCCTACGTTGCCGTTACCGGTGTGCTTGCGACTAGCAACAATGGTGCCTACACGCACGGTGTGGTTCTGTACTGATGAGCAGCATTGTCAACTAGCGTGTGAAGAGGACCGTTTGTGTAGGTATGCCTACAGTACGCTGGTATCGATACTATCATCCCGGTCGGAGAGATCGCACCGGGGTGCGATAAAAACCCGAGGAGTGAACACTTGGATAAAACGATCGCACCCGGTGCCATCTCTCCGACTATTACGGTAGGCTATGTCAAAGGGATTCCATTGTAGGTACGGCGGTTGCGGGTTGCAAGAGCGGTCCCATGTGAACGTCTGCACCCATTATGCCACACGCAGTGTTACAAAGCGATGCCACACGTCGATGGTACGCCGCGCAGGACATGACTTTGTATCTCCAACGGGACACCCTACGCCAATCCCAATACAATGAACAACCTGAATTGAGATCTCGAGAAACATGGGCGAGGGGGGACAACTTGTTGACCATGTGACGAATATTTTCCACCACCAAGTGTAACCGTAGGTGACATGCAGCAGAGAGTTGGATATACCGTAAGCTACGGAGTTTTACCCCCCGGGGAGGGGATCGTTTTTCTTTCTGAAACCAACCCCCCCGGGGGGGAGTTGACGTACCGCGGGGGGTTATTTTTTGTCGTTTCCAACGCTACCCTGGGGGGAAGTCCCCCCAGGGGGGTTGTGCAAAATAATGATGGTCCACACACCACACACACAGAGAGTGGTGAAACTGAGATCGATAAGGTTTACGAGCAAGCGTTCAACAAGCAGAGGAAGGAACATAAGTGCAACAAAGACGAAGAGAAAAACGGCAGCAAGGAGGACAGCAGCTGGGGGAGCTTGTCTCGTCCCGCGAGTGACACCAAGAAGAGGAAGGGCCCGCCTTCCAGAGAGTACCCGCCAGCCCCGTTCACACTGCAGCGAGTTTCTGGAAAGACCGGGCGCAGCGCATACGAGAACGCGCAGAAGCTGGAGGTGCTTAGGTTCAGCCGGAGCAAGTGTGCCGATGGGAACCCAGTCGGGAGGCGTGGTGCTGGGAAGGTGTTCGGCATCGATCCGAAGCTCGTCCGGGATTCGGAGAGCCAGGAGGGGGAGCTTGTGGCGTTTTCCAAGAAGCAGAACGAAAGCATTTCACCCATAAAACAACGGCGAGGGCCAAGTGACAAACGATACACCTAAATCTCGCTCGAAGCGCAGATCTGCACGTGAGCTTTCCGTCCCATATCATGCTTTTTGAGCTCCGCGACGCAACAAAATTGACTCAGAAAATAAGGGAAATACATCCCCCCCGGAGGGAACTCGTGGGAAAAATGGTAACCCGGGGGAAATTGACAACCCGGGGGGATTATTTTTTTTCGCCGAAAACGATCTGCCCCTTTGCTAAATCAACGAACTCATGCTTCCAGGCCGAAAAGGTAATGTGGGAGGGGAAAGCTCTAACCCGGGGGGGAAACTCCGTAGCTCACGGTGTATTTCGGGAATACCACCACAAGAATGCCTTTGAACTCGTGAAAAAGAAGCTGTTCGATTGCTGGCAACCCCTTAGGACGACATGATACTGCAAACGGGGAGAAGCGCTCGATTGTCGGGGCATTGGCTATTCCCGCCAACAAGGCTCGCGCACCCACACCCTACACTACACGAAGCTCAATGGGACCCACCGCCAGTTCCTTACACGGTGCATCCGCTGGAGCAAGCGGAAACGCTCAGACCGCCCCCCTGTCCTATGCCCAGGCCCTCATCCAGGCAGGCTGCGAGGAAACCATCGAGGCCACCGTGCGCAAACGGAGACTGTGTTTCGCGGGTTTTGTTATGCGCATGGAGNAGGGCGGCATGGTTCATGGGGAAATGGCACAGGCAGGAGGCGCTAGCGTCCGCGAAGCGCCAGCGCGCGAAGGAAGCAGAAGCAGAGAGTACGGCCTCAGGACCGAAGAGAAAGAGAGCCGGGGAAGCGGCGGTGGGGGGGAAAAAACGGCGACCGGGCACTGCTGTAGAAGCGAGTAGGGCGGCCGAGGCAGCACTTGTGGCGAAATTTGTATCAGGCTGATGTTGTTGCGCCCGGTTTCCCTCCCTGCTGTATGCTATACTCCTTTTTGTATGTCCTTTGTATTGCCTTCGGCCTCTGTGCCATGTTTCTTTTCTTCATGACCTCCCTGCCTACTCTGCTGTGTTGGGTACCTTGATCTCGCTTTGCTGTTGCCTTTGTTTTTGTACGTCTGGCTGTCTGCCCATCTGCCGCCTCTCTGTCCTGTTTGCTCCGTTACTCCCATGCCCTGGTGCGTAGTGCCTGGTGCTGGTACGTTACCCTTTGATTTTTTCTTTCGGCGGGTGTGGGAAGCATCCTCCTTTAGTTTTGTTTTTGTCTTGTTTTGATCGGTTGCCGAGGGCTCTTTTCTCGAACGGTAGGTGCGATACCTGTTCTTTTCTCTCTATCATTTTGATTTCATGTTCCGAGTGGTTTGTACCCTATTTTTGTTTTGTTTCCCCGCGGCGTCGTATGTGCCGGGTTTTGAGACCACGGGCTCCCCATTTTTTGTGGACTATAGGGCTGATGTGAGAAACACCAACAGCAACAACCTACATCCTGAAGTCGTGAGAAGGTCTTTCCTTGCAAATGAATTTCAAGAACACGGGTGTACCGCACGTTTGTCGGCGGGAAGAGTGGTTTAGCTATGGAAGAGGTAGAGAGAAGTGACCGCTTGGTGGAAATGACCCGGGAAACAACAAAACGTGTGGTGAATAAGGGAGGCAGGAAAAAGTCGAATGATACAGACACAGATGATGTGCCTCCGGTGACGCTATGGAGTCGTTGCTAAGGGCATAGACCATTGAATTTCGGTTTGTGGCCGAGGGAAAAAAAAATGAAAATTTGAGAAATTTGGACACCGCTGGCACCGAGAATGTTTGAGCGAGTTCAATTTTGTTGGAAAAAAAATGAAAATCTGGAAAGTCGGAATTTGGAAAATTGGAAATATGGAACCAACAATCGATGTGTATAAAACGGCCCTGATTGATCCTGCTTGACTCTCATCTGTGGATAGAGAAGGATTCGTTGTGTTACATTATGTGTTACATATATTTTGTGTTAACATGAAGTATTTGAGGAAAAACACAATAAATCGAAAACGCGAACATGTTTGCCGAAGCGGCTGGTCGTTTGCCGTTCGAGAGGTTGAAATGCGGGGGTGATGGTAGAAGAGGCGGGCCCGAGGGCCATATGTAACAGCAGGCGGAAGAGCGGACGCTTGTTAGTGCTAGTTCATTGAATTGTTGTAAGATAACTGCCGACGAAAAGCGGACGGACAATCAAGGGGAACACGGAAGGTATGCCTTTTGGAAAGGCGGAGGTTCGACATTGGGGGTGTTTTGTTCGCAAGGGAGGAAGCAAGGCGGAGCCAAAGGTTCGTGTCTTTGCTGTTGCAGACGTTCCGTGCAGCGCATAGGGGAAAGACGACCGTGTGCAAAAAGGAGGTGTGCCGACGGGGTTCTATATACTGGTACTTTTTGTCGGGAGTTGAAGATAAGGTGGAAACTAAAGTCGGTGACGATCAGTACTACTCCTCCTGCGGCGGCGGAGATGTCGAAATACGATCGCGGGAAAACGAAAAAATATCGTTCTGGTGATTTTAATGGAGAACAAATCAGGCCTGAACGAAAGTGTTTTGTTCCGGCTGGCATGACTGATACCTTAACCTTCAGCGTTTATACATACAGGCCTAAGCAGACTCAAGATGAGTCCAGCATCCAGCCGGTGTCCTCCACACCCGTGCTGGCAAAGGCTTGGTTCAACTCACCCCTTGTGAACGGGGTGTTCATGTCGAACGAGTTGTCTTTTCTGGGATCTAAATAGAGAGTTCCACATTCCTCCGAAGCACAGGGTATCTGTCAAGCGGGTAGTCTATTTTCTGGGACCTATGCAGTTCGGCAACGTTGTGGTGGGCATGAAGGGGTAGTATCGTCGTGGATGGGGGTGCAGATTCGCCTGTATTCGGCATCGACCACAAGGAGAGTTGAAGAACGCGATCGCCCTCAACGGAGTCTCTTAGCTGGGAAGCGGAGAAATCTGGCGGAAAAGCTGAGAAACAAGGAAATATTTCGAAGGAAAAGGCGGAAATGCGGCGAATTTGTGGCGGACACGCGCGGAATCCCGTGTACTACGACGGAAAAAGCACGGGGAGTTACGACGGCAGTCCTGGGGAATCGTGTTTCAGTAGCCCGCTCCTCCTGCACCCCATTCGGTTGTCACGGTCGCCACTGCTACCGTCTCGTTCTGCGAGAATGACACGGACGGGCGTTGTTGCCCAACGGATGAAAGATTCAAACACCAACATTTTGTCACTGGTGATGCATCGCTCATCGTATGCTGCCGCCACCCACACGCCATGACAAGGCTTCCCTTTGCAGAGCAAGGACCTGGTATGGTCTTCTTTCACCTTAGTCTCAATACGCTGTTGTGGGATCTACTCGACACAGCTTTACTTCTACTGCTGCACTTTCTGTGTATTGATTCGTCTTTGGCAACCCAAAAAATACTTTGTAGGACGGTTGTCTATGAGCCGTACATACAGCAGTAGTATGAATCGCACAACAGTAAAAAACAAACAAGTGTTCGTTAGATTCTCGCGTTGTTTTTGTGTGTTGGTTTGAGGAGAGCACTACAGCAGTACCCATGCATAATTTTTTTCCGAATGGAAGTTCATTTATTTCCAGATCCAGCCTGATTTTTTTCACTTGAATAGTGGGATACTATGCATAATGAGTGAAGAATTCAGGCTCTGTCGGGGTGTGCGATGCATTCTGTACCCCCGGCTCGTGTTCCTGTTCCGGGCGTTGTCCGGGCAGCATTTTGTGGCGTGTTGTGTGTTTTGTAGGCGTTATATCCTGATCTATTTCTATCTCCTCCGGCACCGGCGTGCGTGCTCTGGTTTCAGACCAAAAAGCAGCATGTGCTCATGCATATAGGCATCTGGCAATAGACCAAACGCTGCTGTGGATGGTTGTACATCATTTTTATCTATCCTATTAAATACACACCAACAGACCAAGAGACAATGGCACTTTTAGTGGTTAGTTCGTGGTCTTTCCTTTACCGCCGCTATATTTTATTTTGTCACGGCACAAGATATGACGTCTCCCTCGGAATGAACGCTTCTTTGCCACTAGACACGCTCGACGCGTTGATCCCCCCCCCCCCCCCCACCTCTCTCCTCCGCACCCACCCTCCGCTGCAGCTCCTCCGCCGCCGTCGCCGGCGGCCCAACGAGCCTGGTGCTCCCCCTGGCGAGGGTCCGCACGACCGTCAGGCTTGACCCCTCCGTGGGGAACATCTCGAANTCACGTTGTGTTAAAATGGTCAAGC